AAAACTGAGGAGCATAATTTGGATAATGCACAAAGTGAATCAGAAGTTTCACAGTGGGTAGCTATATGTGTCATGATGAAAGACACAGAGTGCAATCTTACTATAAAAATTTCTGATTTCGTCGTCGTCAACCAATTTGTCGTCAAAAAATGACGTCATCAACAATGTCAACAGATATTTGTTTACTCGGCATTGTTGTTTAACACAACAATGCCGAGTAAACAAAGATAACGCTTCACAACAAAGAAATCAAAAAATATCAAGCGTCGCAGATCAGCGACGTAAAGAAGTAAAATATCAGATTACAAGAAGCGCTCCGAAAGGATTAGCCATCGTTGTCGTCAAAAAATGACGTCATCAACAATATCACCTTATATTTGTTTATACATGGGGGTTAGTTTAGCGTCTTACCCAAGATTTTAAAACGCAACCAAACCACTTCGGTGTTTTGGTGAAGTGTTTAGTTTCTTACTCAGGTGTTAAAACACTTGAATGAGACACTAAACTAACCCCCCGAAGGGGAGTTAGTTTAGCGTGTTACTTAAGATTTCAAAACGCAACCAACCTTTCAGAAAGGGGAGGTTGGTCAATTGTTTTAACCCTCAATTCGGGGCAGTTAGTTTAGTTTCTTACACAAGGTTGGTGGCGTTTTACAAACTTGACCAACCCTCCCTAGGAGCTCCGAAAGGAGCGCCCTGCTCTAGTATATCAAAAATATTCACAGTGATCATATTTTACAATGTGGCCAATGATATGCTTTAAATTTAGCATAAGATTTCATGTGGCTTAAAGAACAACCTACATTATTATTAATAATGTGTCAGTGTGCCAATTAACAATTAATACAAGAGACAAGCTATAGTCATTGGCTGATGACATATGCAGAGTGTCCGGATGAAAGGTATCCAAAATAAAATATTTATATCTCGGAAACTAATTGTCAAACACGTATCCGGTTTATGTCATCGGAAAGGAAAACTCTGAAAGTTTTTTTCATGTGCCAGCTGGTGACCTTCGGCGAGCTCAGTAACTATGTCGACACCACAGGAACAAGGTTCAATGCGTGTTGTGGCTAGCAGAGTTGCAATCTCTTATGGCTGTAAAGCATTGCTTTAGAATGCAGTATGGACGTCAACCTCCTACACGGAAAAGCATTTGGTTCTGGGACAACAAACTGAGGACTACAGGTAGTCTGGTGTGTGTAAAATCTCCTGGAAAGACACGGACCTCTGAAGAAAATGTCAATCGCATTAGAGAGGCATTCCAGCGAAGTCCGCGCAAATCAATTCGTGCTGCTAGCTTGCAGTTACAAATTCCACGTTCAACAGTGCACGATGTGCTACACAAAAGGCTCCGCCTAAGAGCGTACAAGATTCAAATGATTTCATGCACTAAAACCGACTGACCAAGTAGCACGCACAAACTTTGCTGTGGACATGCTAGAAAGAATTGACATGTCACCTGATTTCCTCCGCCAAGTGTGCTTCTCGGACGAGGCGACATTCCATGTCAATGGAGTTGTAAACAGGTACAACTGCAGGATTTGGGGCAGTCAAAATCCACGTCATATTTGAATTGGAGAGAGGCAGCCCAAAGTGAACGTGTGGGCCGGCTTAATGCATGACAAGTTGATTGGACCGGTTTTCTTTTCGGAAAAGACTGTGACCGGACGTTCATACTTGAAGGTTTGGCTTTTATGACCAGTGTGCTGTGATGTACAGTAGAACAAAGAAGACAATGAAAAATAACTATCAGAAGATATTGTTTCACTTACATCTCACAAAAATTGATTGAGAAGTATGAAGGAAAATCTTCCTCTGATATCCTGTCAACAAGAACAAGGAAATTACCTCTAGATCCTACTGGAAGATTCACTGGGAGGCAGTTTCCTGTTTGGCCCTCCAACAGAAATAAGGGACATGCTAGCAAATATGGACAGAAAAGCAAGATACAAAAAGCAAATTTATAGGTGAATTCACTGCAAGGTTTCAGTGAATCCAGCACCTTGTTTCATACTACATATAGTTCTCTTCAGACCAGGTGGTGGAAAAACAAACATATGGCAAACATATAAATATTCAAGAAGTGTTGTACAAGATGACTGCAGGTTTTAAGGGAGAAGGGGGAGAAATAAAAGCAGCAAATTTTGGCAGATATCTTTCTTACAGAAAATTGAGACAATTCCAAATGATAACATATATTAATGAAAAACTATATGAAATTAAGGGAAAAATAAAATCTAACCAATTTTTGCTCAAAACACTTCAAGCTATAAACTTGCTGGATGCCAAATATGCCACAGCATTGAAGAACTTCTGATAACTAGAGTTGTGTACACACAGCTTTGAATTTTAAACATTTTTAAAGTATATTCCAATATTTTGTGTAATCAACTGTATGGCATAATATGGGAGTGGTGAGGACAGTGACAGTGATGATGATAGCAGTGTATTTGAACGGCAGTAGTAGTGATTAATTGCACAAAATCGGTATCTCAAAGGGAAAAACAATGTTAATTAATGTATCTATGTGAATACATAATTTTGTTTCCATAAAAATAAATACAAAATAGTAAAATGTGTACTGAAAAGGCGTAGAATATTCTCAAATAACATCGCGATAAACCTGTCTCCGAAATTAGATTCAAAATTAATACTTTCCTAACCTCAATCACAAAATAATTACTACATTTCGACGCTCAGTTCAACATAGGCATTCGTTACAGAAGAATTTTGCTGATAAAATTAAAATAATTGATGACACAAATGAATTCAGTGACTCAAGATGTGAGTACGAAAAGACGGGAATACTGTTTCGCCTTTCCTCGTATATGCAGAAAAGAGTAAACATTCGAAATTACATTAAACGTTTCTTTAGAGTTCCATTTTACGAGGCGCGTCCACAAAGTAAGTTTCTCACTCGTCCCACAGCTAGCAAACCTTATATTGTGCGAAGCGACTGTGCGTACGTGATAGAGCAATGACGTAGCATGGCGCATGCACTAACGGTACTTCCCGCGTTCTCCCAGTAGCATCGTTGCAGCTGTTGAAGATGGAGGTTCTTATTCCAGCTCCCGCCGACTGTGAAGTGCGGTCAGTGATAACGCTCGGCCGCACACGGCTCGACGGACAGCAAGTCTCCTGCAGGAGTTCAGCTGGGAGGTGTTTGATCATTCACCCTACAGCCCGGACCTCGTTCCCAGTGATTTCCATCTTTTCCTACCCCTCAAGAAATTCCTGTCCGGTCAGCGTCAGCGTTTTGAGAATGACAGAGAGGCGGAGATGGTTGTCACACAGTGGTTCCAATCCCAGGCGGCAGACTTCTACGACCCAGGTATTCAAAAGTTGGTCCCACGGTATGACAAATGTCTCAATTCCGGTGGCGAATATGTTGAAAAATAGCTGGACACTTGCTGTATCTGTTGCAATAAATATTTCCATGAAATTGTGTTTTGTTTCTGTAAACGGCCCCAGTGAAACTTACTTTTGGGACGCGCCTCGTATATAAAAATTCCCTTTTGAATTGAATGTAATTTATTATTAAAAATCGTGAATCCACTCAGTTTTTGGAGTGTGGCACACATTCCAGGCAATACAATACTTTAAAATTGTCATATTATGCACATCTAAGCAGCAAAGCACAAATAACTCGGAAAGGGGGACAACAATTTAATAGTGCAAAATGTAGTCCAAATATGGCTACCATACACTGTTAGGTCACTATCATGAAAGGATAAAATATACAATGCTCCATTACCTCTGATCACATATTCCATTCAACACAACCAAATTACCTGCTCATTTGTACTACACCAACAATACAATTCTGAGCACAGGCACGTCTTAAATTTAAATTGAAGCACAGAATATAACATGAACTTTTCAGATCAGGTCAATGCCGCTGTCATTAAGCGACAAAAGAATCACACACACAGTGTCCCACCTAACGAGAAACCTGTAAAGACAGCATGGAGCAAACTATTGGAAAATTAGTCAGGCACAATGAAGAACATAGGTACTGCACAGTAGCAGATGGGTTCCAAATTATGTGCGACTCTCTGTATACATTTAATATTAATCAGTCATATGTCAAAATGACTGCAGAATCCTGGAAATTCACAGAAAAATCTTACGATATTAGTTTGTATCAAAGAACTTTCAGCATGAAGTCAATTTTCAGATTGCATAATGAAAACAATAAGATATTTTATGTTAATATAATGTTATATTACACATGACAAAACAAAACACATCATACTGAAAACCATATCAATATAACTCACCTGAGTTGCAGTCGTGATACTATGCACTTAACAAATGGAATGTGTATTAATTACATGTAACAGTTGCAAGACTGCCTTTCACATCAGTGTGGGCATGTCAGTGTATGTCACATTTTGGTTTTTAAACAATATTAATGTAAGACATATGTTTTATACACCAACATACTCATGTTTGTGGACTACAAATTAATTACTGAATTCATGTCTCAACAACTGAGGCAGTAAAGAGCAAATAATACTAGACTCAAACAATCAAAATATTGTAAACATTTTCCAATACATCGGAGTAAGAATCAGAGATGCATATGATCTATGATTCTGGGAATAAAAGACTATGGCCAATATGGATTAGAACATACATATTTTTATACAAAAAAGATAAACTATAAAATTCGGACAAACAGACCAATAATGCACATCAGACTTCACCTCTGTGCATATGATTCCTTCATCTTCATTTTACTTCTCTGAAAGAAAGAAGAAAAAATTGTCAGTGGAACCATGGTTCCGGATAATTTGACGTAAATACGTCATACCTGCTTTACAATTGAGTAAAGTTTGATTAAGACATTGCTTATTTAACTTGAATTAGTTCTGCTTAAGATGGGTCTGTGGTAGATGAATGTAATGTAAGGTAAGGTAAGGTAACTATGTAGGTAACCATTGTTGTTTATTTGTTGATAAACAGATGACGTTTCCTAGGTAACATAACAATGAAGTTACACTTTTTCGTTACATTTTTGCCGAATGACACTGACCCTAAAATATAGACGTATTTATGTCAAAAAAAATCAATGGCATACGCTGTCACTAGCTACTAGCAGTAACCAATTTAAATTTAATCAACAGGGAGAGTGTAATTATAGAGTTTTAGGAAATGAATAAGAACACAATCAGAAACTAGGACTTTATATATAAACAGAACAAAACAAGAAGAAAAATTGGTAACATTAAGGATACTGCTTCATGGTCCAATATAACAGTCTGCAGTAAAAAATGTAATTTTTTACTGAGGCAGCATATAGTCTGGATTGAGAAACACTGACATGTATCACATATGAACACTTAAAGAGGAAAGACAGACAGGGAAAATAAGTGGAAAGAAGTAATGGGGCAGTTCATGAATGTCTCACTCACTAGCAGGTAGCAGGTTTTCATTCATGAGTACTTCCTTGACATGAGGGAACTCGATGACGTAAGCTCCAGGGCTGTAGCATGATACAATTCGTGCCTTGTAAGTCTTGTTCACTTGAACCAGTTCGCAGATCCGCTTCTTCACTGTCTCAGTCGACGTGTCAAGTCCTGATAAAAATGTCACTTCATTTTATAAACATATTAAATATCAAACATAAAATTTGCATTTTTTACATTTCATTCTGCAAAGATGGAGATATCTTTCTACATATATCTCACTGTTTCACAAAATGCATTTCACCTGTTTGTGGATTTATAACTTTAACATGAAATTGGTAATCAGACCACAAATTCAATATTACCATCTTCTGGTCAAGAATTTTCCTGCTTTTACATTACCGCATTAACAAAAGCTAACCATTGGACCTCAACCACTTGAAACTAGTGCATACCTTCACATCCTATTTATAAAAGATCCTGAATACCTTACTACACCATCCTGCTCAGTGATGGGAGGATAAATGACGATGATTATGTTCACCACTAGCGCACAGGAAAAAGGAAAATGATAAAAATAACTTACCTTCCAGTAAACACAGGATTGCAACAGCTGGTATTTTAACATAATCTGGTACCATCCTACGAATATTTGTCTTATCAACACGTGCCATATTCCCAAAATCTAAGAATATTATGTTATATTCATTTGAAGGACGGTCTTCAAGACACATGGCACGATACCATAATCCGTCTGTAATACAAATGCATTTAAAATAAGTTTGGTAACACAAGCAAACCTGAATCATACCAGTACCATGACACCAACTAAAAACATGTTATAAGGAGACCAAAAGCATAGTGATCACAGCGAATTCATAAAGCAACAGATAGATGAGAACTCAAATGTTTGACAGTTAGTGAGTATACAAATGAATAACCTATGATGGCCACAACAAATTAAATGGGCATCTACTGGATACTGTAAAAAGGGGAGACCAAAAAAAAAAGCGATTACTAGACAAAGAAAACAATATATATGGATGACAATTGCAGAGTATGAGAACAGGGAACCTATATAAAATACCTAAAACATACCTTCAAATCTGGCCAAACAAAGTTCAGAATTTCTAGGAACATATAATTTCTCTGGAGCAGAATTGCAGTAATTGTTCATTTCTTCTACCATGGTTCTGTGGACATATACCAGAATTTCTGTATTTGCTTCACAGCCCATAAAATTCACACCATCCAATTTATGAAGAACAAGAAAGTCGATAGTCTGCCCCACAGGCAACTCCAGGTATTCAATATCATGTTCCGTGAAGACTTTACAATCTGCAATCAAGATACCAGAAAATTACCACAATGTATACATAAATAATAAAGACCTCATTAAGACATGCCTGAACCATTTTTTGAACGGTTTACAATTAAGAGAATGTGATAAAAATAATGACAAGACAGAAATACATTTGTAGAATAATTTGCTTTGCAGCAGTAAATGAACGTCTATGCTCAGAATGTATGCAAAATCACAAAGCATAAATTTGAAAAATATATGTATAATTACAGTGTGCAGACATTTACGGCATACAAAAAAGTTACAAAAGTAAAGAAGTGGCATTAAATTCAGTTTTATGAAATTATTTCATACGAGCCCAAGACAATAATTTTAAATCAAAATGAGATCTTGACAAATATTCTAAAGACTGCTAAATGGCAAAGAAAATATTCGCATAATCAATTAATGTACTGGTTGAAGTTCAGAATTCAGCATGTTTCCCAAATCATGACATGTTCCAGGGCAGTTTTTGATCTGCTCCTGTCTGCTTAGGTCAGGCAGGCCAGGTTAGGTTTGGAGCACTCAAACTCTACTCTGGACTTTTACCAAAATTCCATATAAGGTTCTATTTTTGCATCATGTAAGTTTATTTTTCAGAAATAAAGTATGATATTGAAAAAACTCATACTATGTATAATTATGTCCTGCATTTCAAAAGAATTTGCTGCTGGTACTAGGCTTCCAAGTTTCAAGAAAGATCCATTTATGTAAGATTTGAGGTTTTCCGTCATCAGGGCGATGCAGTATGACCTCTGAAACGTTGGTTAACATCTACCAGACTACACAGCGCAACAACCCAGAAGACAGAAATCTTCGTACTAATTCATCGCCCTGATGATGGAGGCAGTATGACCTCTGAAACGTTGGTTAACATCGACCAGACTACACAGCGCAACGACCCAGAAGACAGAAATCTTCAAGATCCATTTGTCTCTAAGAAAGATAAAAAACTCTGTGAATATGAGGCATACCTGACCCTCACCATGGTTTAGAGCCAATGTTAAGATGTAGGTCTCCTTTGCTTTTAATAACCTACCGCTGGGGGAAGTGACGTTATCTTACAGGTTAACACCAGCCACACCATCATTCTCAACCTCCACCTTTACTGGTCATACATCACTGTTGAAACATGAACCACCTGGCCATGTGTCACAGCAGCATTCCACTAAGTCTAGCAGACAGCCTGAGGTTGGGAATTTAAATCCTTTACACCTCTATGATAAAGATGTATCCTTGCTAAGAGACAGTACTGTGAAATGCAGTAATTACCTGTGGGATCCTTGCCTGCTGCCATGGCTTTCTTCCATCCAGGCTCTAGCACTGCATTCATCTTATCACTCAGACTGGAACCATCTGGCAGAATCAGCTGCACTCCATCTTCGTATGATTCAGCAAGAATCTATATAAAACAGGACAATAAAAATCCATGTTTACTCATGACCCATTTCATTTTAATTAAATATGTATTTTTGTCTGCACATGGGTACAAGGTTAGAGGCACTTCTATTTGAATACTGTCAAGAATAAGCGAATCTGGTAATCTATGTGACTGTTAAGGAGATAGTGAACGAATGTTGCATGTAAAAATGGATCACAAATCTAATGAGGGGGAGAAAAAAAATTAGTACTTGGGAACTATCACAGCACTTAAAGGGTTTTGCTATCTTCTACCTACCAGTTTCATTTCAACTTCTCTGCCAATAAGGCTGGATAAGAAGTCACTTGCTTCTTTTGTCATTGGTTTATCAACAACATCCTTGAGACCCACTTTAACTACCATACATGGAATCTGAAACATGGGTAATAAGTAATATTACAGCCCTTTTGACAAGCCAGAAGAAAAAAGTCAAAACTTTTACCATAACACATATATCTGCGGTTTCTGATTTTTACAGTGATGCATATGAAGATGGTTATCTTCTCGGTTGTGCCATGTTACCTGGCAGAAGTTTACCAATGATTCAGAGGTATTTTCTGCAATGGTGCGACAAACCATAAGATAGCCACCTTTAACACATATGTCTCTCACGTACTGGAAATGTCAGATTGAATAGTATCCCACAACTCTCTTAAAGCATGTATTCCAAATACAACTACATAAAAAGATTTTAACATATTATGGCTTCATTTTACACCAATGGTTTCCAAGTCTTGGTCCACAGACAGTACCATTCTTTTCTAGTAACACTGAAACAAGTTAAATTTTCTATTTATCTCATGAGAATGTGAAATACACAGTAGATGAAATGTTGGATTTGAAAGAAGTTATTTTGGATGTAATGCGTAAGAAACAAAATACTGTAACACAAAAGGTTACATACTGCCTAGAGCAAAAACTTACCATCGAAGGATAAATTAATCCAGCATCTTTTAGCCTTATAAGTACAGTAGGGCACCGCTTATAAGGCAGGTTAGGGACCAGACCCCCGCCGTAAAGCGAAAATCGCCGAAAAGCAGATCTTAGCCTTATTTCACTTGCAAATGCATATCAAAGCCTAATAAGATGTTACACTATCATATAGTAAGTGCACAATAGCGCTAGGCCTAAGAAAATGATATGAAATGAAGGAGAAGGCGCATCTTCATCATGTGACTCTTCAACGAATCCTATTCGTTTTGGTGATGGTTCGGAAGCCATAGACATGCCTTGTTCACGAAGTTTAATGATCTCTAACTTGGCATTTAAAGTAAGAGGCTTACGACTCCTCTTTTTATCGCTACTACCCTTAGACGCCATTGTAATTATACTGTAGTAACACAAAAATATTATATAAATATACAGTTTGTAATAACTGGAAAATTGCCAGAAATACAGAGAGACGCGGAGAGCACAAAAGCTGTAAACAGACTGAATCAGCGACGAAAAAATGGCGCCGGACGCACTTCTCTGACTCAGCTGTTGAGCGCCGTATTAGCGGATCGTCATAAAGCGGAGCGCCGAAAAGCGGGGCCCTACTGTAGTCTTACATCATATCCATGGATCTACTCCCCCTGCAACTTTTGAACTTACCAATTTTCATTATATCTAGAATGAAAATCATGCCATTTGAAGCATTTGTACTTTTCACTTTCTAACCATCGACAACACCAACATGTCGGCCATGCAAATTTGAGCGACAGGAGTGACAGACACTACTGCCACTTAATTTAGCATCCTGAAAGTTTGTGGTTATAGATCTTGAAAAAATATGCAATAAGGCAATTCCATCTGTGGATTATGCGATATCTAAATTTAGCTTCCGGGATGATGGCAAACACTAATGAACCACTGGAAATGGTACTGTGAAATTCTGGAGAGATGTCATAAAAACTGGGGTTAGAAAGAAAACTGTCAACATGGTGTTATATGAGGTTTCTATTAGCTTCCAACCAATGGAGATGAGCTTTTGAACAGTCCCCACACATGTGTCTTAAGATGTTTGTGAAAGAACATGCCATAGCAAATATGCATTCTTTTTCATATATCCAAGCATTCACCCAGCTGCTTGCCACATGTTGTCTCTCCACTGTAACCTTTTCCATCTTCAGAAAGAGAAAAAGTCACAATCGCTTTTGTTACAGACTTATGATCAGTGCACAGGCACAGGTCTTTGTTATTGGTAGCCACATGGCATATGCACTGCCATGCAACATGACTGCTGAATGTATGAGACATACAGCAGTCCTTTCAGACTGCAAGGCAGTCTACAATATAATGAACAATGTATATCAGAGTCAGCTGCTGTTGAGTAGTAGGAAAGCTATAGAAACAGTCCTGCTGCAGATGTGCATATATAATAAAAGACAAGTAAGATAAGAGGAAAGAATTTATTTATTTTAATCTTACTTTTTTTAGAGCATCAGGAAGAGGTTTCAGCCTGTCTGTTGTAACACAGTCCAGATTCCCAAAGTCAACGTAAATTACTTTTGCAGTTTGGTTTTCAACACCAAGGACTTTGGCTCTGTAATAGTTTCCATCTGCCACAAACTTGCAAGCAACTATTTCATTCTTTCTTGGCACATGGTCCAATTCTGGAGCTGAGAAATATAGAAAGACATATTAAATCAAACATGTACACATATAAAATGACTTTCACATGTTTGTATTTATTTATGTACTTACATACTAGTTATTAATTTAATAAAGCTGCCGGTAATCCAGGCTAAAGTGATAAATAATAGCATGATTCAAAAGGAAATATAAATGTATACGTAAATTGGTCTGAAAACGTAGCCGAAACCCACTTGACAATAACAATGTTTATTGCTGTTTATGGTTGTAGTTCCCGGGTTGACAGCTCATGTTGAACATGTCAGAACCCTAGAGAAAGTGATTAAATATTTGCAGCCCCTAAAAGAGGTCAAAAGACGTAGCCAAGTCAACTTACAATGTTGCAAGTTTTGAGTTCCGCACCGGGAACGTTCGTAGGGCTGAGTACACAACTTACGTTCCAGACAGGGAACGCTAGTAAGATAAAGGTTAAACACTTGCAATGCATTCCAATGATGGGTTCAATGTCCATAAGATAATCCTCCAGAGAGGAGGCATTCATCAGTCAGAAATTCAAAATAACAAAATATGTAACTGAAAAGGTTTCCCTGAAAGCATTGAAGCTAAGTGCATGAACCTGTCCAACTTACAACGAAAGGGGTGTTCAAGTTCCAGGATAAAGGGGTGTCCAAGATACAGGGTATTGTGGACATGTAAAATTATAGGATTTTCGCAGGTTCCAATTAAAAATGTCCAATATAAAGAGGGTGTCCAGGATATAGGGGTGTCCAAGTTGAGGGGTTTTACTGTATATGCCTGGAAGTAAGAATACAAAGCAGAGAGCTAACCACTTGGCTGCAACATTATGCAAGTATGTTTGTACATGTTTCTACCCCAAGAACAAATCTGGACTTGCACTCCAATACTATGCAGCTTTGCTTTTCTGTGACCAATAAAAATCTTACTTGGTGGAATATAACATTAAAAGATGAGGAAAACCTTAGTCCTTTCTTGGTAATGATACAAGGTATGATGTTTCTTGCACATTAGTGCAACTGTATATTGAACTTCAACAAAGTAATATGTTTTTCCTATGCTACACATTAAAGTGAAGTAAAGCTGTCCCACTATACACCATGTAGGTGCTTTGGGGGAAGCAGGTATAGCTCCTACTCATTCTTAACCTCAGTACTAGATGGGGGCGAGTGGTCAGTGTCATGGCCTGGCCATGCTTTACCCCCAGGAAAGGACCCCAGTACCCACTGGATAAGAGACTGGGTAGGCCCCAGAGCCGGTCTGGACGCAGAAGCTAGAGGATAAATCCTCTGCCTCCGTAGAGAATTGAACCGTGGTCGTCCAGTCCATACTGCATATTGGAAAGATAAATACAGAAGTAAAGTCTGATATTTTCAGACCACACCTCAAACTGTTAGTCAAATTATTTATCAACCGATAATGCTAAAGGAGTAAAAAGTACAGCTAGAAATGAAGCTGTAGTACACAACATGGTGGGGGGGAGAGAATACACCCATGTCAACAAACTCAATTAGAAACACCTAATTTGTTAGTCTAATACCTTTTATGCAGTGCAGGCCAACATCCTGAATTAACTGACAAAACATGTCCCTTGAACTCTTTGATGCAGGACGTACAAACAGTGATTTCTGATCAAAAAATACTTGAAGAATAACAGTATCATTATTCTTGATTTCAATACTCTTCATTCCCTCATCTTCTACTGATGGAATCCATCGTTTCAGCACTGCCTTGCATAATTCTTCATTGGTAAGTGACCGTAAAATACATGTCGTTGTTTTATGAGTCTCATCCACATCTGTCACCATGAATAAAAACCGGTCACTCCCCTGCAATACATTACTGTGGTCAGTTCAACGACAATATGGCAAGTCTAAATCAAACACAGGAAATACAGCAAAACAATGCACCCTGGAAAATATATAAAACTCTAAAAAGGTGAAGGAAACAGGACAGAGGATATTGATTCTTTCATTTCTTTTTTTCTACTGCACAGGTTATACAGCATCAAATGGGATGGGGAAAATGACCATGAATGACGAGTAGGTACAGATCTGAAAGGTGATAGTCATGGCCCATTTGCAAGCACTGTCCCACCATATGCCTGGAAAGACATGAAAAACCAGAATAAACTCAAAACATCAAGTAAGTCCACAGCATTAGCAACCTACTTGATGACAGAAAATATTACATTCAATAGAAAACTCTGTATACATCTCAATGCAGTCACTGGCGACAATTTTTTACTTACGGCAGACCAGAGTTTCTCCTTGGGACTGGTGCAGCTAATAACACTGCACCTAGCAGCCAATTCTGGAATCAATGTTAAATTCTGGGGTAGTTTCTTCACAGTTTTCACATTTCCTATAAGCCCCACATCACAGAAATTAACACGGTAGCTAGAACTACCAATAGACATAATGTATGCTCTATTCCATGTTTCGTTTTCCTCTTCACTTTCAATTTTAGCAAAAGCTGCAACCATATCTCCAACAACAGGTCTGAAAAAGAAAAAAAGTTGTGTACTAACATCACAAAATTTACTCACATAAAGTGCAACATGGAATCACAATAATGATTTTTGAAATTAATGTTATATTATACCAGAAAACAACAAATGTGCACATGTTGCTACAATAAATTCCAAAATTAAAAAAGATTTATGCTCATGTGGAAAAACCAATACAGGAAAGCTGAAGGGAGATAAACCTGATGAACCTCAAAATCTTAAGATACTATGGGGCTGCAAAGAAATGCAGAGGTCCCAAGATTATCTAAATTACAAATACAGTGAAACCCTTTTGTAATGAGAATTCATAAAATTTAAAAATGCCTCTTCTAGCGGGTACTCAGGTGGTTATCTAGATGTGAAAATAATGAATAATAATTAAGATTCTCCATGTCTTCAGCAGTAAGACTTTTTAACTTAACAACTGGAAGCACAAACACTTCAAACTCTTGTTCATTAGCCAAGCAACACAATACTAAATTAAACAAGCCACAACAGTTTAAAAACAACTTTCTTACAATAAGATGTTAAGTTTTCTGGCAGGTTGGTGCCAGTACATGCTCTGTAATAATATGAATCACTTCAGGTACAGCCTAAACATATCACTTAAGCACATGTGTCATTTCCTCTTTCTGTCACCATAACCTGGAACCAACCCCAGTCACAGTTCACTGTTATCAATTTAAATTTGGAGGAAGAAGTTAACTAGAATGCAAACTTTTCTCTAGGCTATGGAGGCGTAATGGTGATTGGTTAGCAGAACCTTTACAGACTGCCACCTATAAATATCTTATGGAAGCAAAAACTTCAATTATAGCAAGTGTAAACAGTTACGACTAGTTAGGATACTGCTGGTTGTGATGATGATGCAGTAAAAAAGCCCTTGTTTTGTGAAACTTTTTCCATACAGTAGAAATTTTTTTCTTGCTATAATGAAGTTACTGTTGTAAGCTAAACCCATTTTACTGCAGTTACACACACACACACAAAAAAGTGATAGTGGAACCACGGTTCCGGAGAATTTGACGTAAATACGTCTATATGGAAAGGAAGATTATATATTGGTATTATTCTAAATATTTCCTTTATACATGCTTTACAATTGAGATAAGTTTGATTAAGACATTGATTATTCAACTTCAATTAGTTACGCTTAAAATGGGTCTGTGGTAGATGAATGTAATGTAAGGTAATGTAATGTTTTATAGGTAATAACAATGCTAAGTAAACAGATGACATTTCCTAGGTAACAATAATGCCGAGTAAACAGATGACGTTTCCTAGGTAACAACAATGCTGAGTAAACAGATGAGGTTTCCTAGGTAACATAACAACGAAGTTACACTTTTTCTTAACACATTTTTGCCGAATGACCCTTCCTTATAGACGTATTTACGTCAAAAAATACTTTCAATGTTAATGTATAGTGTCCAAGGCACTTGGATGACAAAGTTTTGAAAGAAGTCTAATTTCTTGGTGCTGAAACTGGAAAATAAATGTAAAATAAAAAGTAATATAATAACAAAGTAGAAACACATTCAGATAAACATGTTAAAAATACCATAAAATTTAATTTTCGATAAAATCTGGAAGCAAAAATTTGATCATCAGTAAGTAAACACATCAACTTACAAGGGAAAATGTATCTGTGCTATTAGTTCTGTGTATAGAGATTACTCACAGACCTAGTATGTCATTTAACCTGAAGTTGGCTGCACCCTTCAAAGTCTTTAACAGTATGTTGTTGATCTGATAATCTTCATTAAGCTGGACAGATGCTCTAAACAATAGTTACTGCCAAATCTGACATTAAAAATACATGCTTCCTGATATTAGGGAACTATTTTTCATCACTGAAGTACAAATGAAAAATTTACAAAAATATATTTGCATGCACTTCAACCACTGACTTACTTGAATGTAGATATAATGCAAAATGATTCTGGGTAAACAGTTCTTTGCATATTTTTGCATGAAAGTAGTCAAAACAAGGCCTGCCTATGCTTGGGTCCAACACCATAACAGCAAGGAAAGTTGCTGTTTACTTACTTGTACGTCTTGTCCACTGGAGCACTCGCACATTTCCTGTGCTGGTATTCAAATAGTTCAACATACTTCTCTTTAACATCAGGATACAAAATGGAAACAGTGAAACCTTCATCAGTCAAATGTTGTCTGAACTGGCCACCACCTTGCATTCCAACCTTCAAGCCATCCACTGCAAAGCTGAAAAATAATGAAATGATGGTAAATAAAAAATTGCAGTCATCTACAGAGGAGATAGGAGGAAACATGGAAGTCACATGAACATTAAATGTTATTTACACAGCTCTCATACAACATTCTAATAACTAGTTCAGTGAAACATCACTGTAGGGTTCATATATGTTTCCCCCCTCTCTGGAGCTGTTACGCCAAGGATTTAATTTTAATTTAATTTAATCTTTTCCTTGCACAAACAAATTAGCAGATTATATTAAGAGATTTCTTTACATTTAACTTTCATTTAAAATGGAGAATCATCTGATGTTCACAAATGGAGAAAAACAGATAAAAATACCATGATCCAGAAACTCCTTTATGGTGATTGTAAAAAAAAAAATACACACTGATATGTAACTTATTTTAAGAGTACCTTTTCTTAAAAGTGGCTGTGCCTACTACTTTTAAAATAACCACACAACACTTCAAAATATGAAGGGGGACAATCCACAGCACACAGTTAATGTTCTTTATATTAAAATACTGCACAGTGAAATCAAATTGCTGAAAAATAAAAGGAACAAATTTCAACAGAAACTATTTGATTAGTTTAGAAGAACCATGGCTTATATATACTCGTATGTGCTGTATTCAGATTATATGTTCTTCAATCCTTTTCACCTCCTCTTTAACAGCAAGTAACCAAATCAGTGATAACTCGAGGATAGCTTAGCTGATTGAATACTGCAAGTGTTCTTACAGCTTCATTGTGTCATCAATGTCTTTGAAAGGCATTAATATAATTTAACAGTAGTTTGTAACTTGCACATAAAGTCCTCCAAATAGAGTAACCAAGTGTCCTGCAACAGCATGCCATGGACATTCTGTTGTGGGACATCCTATATATGTCAGAGTATTCAGTACTCAGTGTCCACATATTGGGAACAGCTCAGTCTATTAGATTCAACAAAACAGTGCCTTCGATAAAGAAAGATCCATCTTTCAAAACAGTGATTTTTAAGAGATAAAAAAAAGAAAAAGAAAGAAAGATAATGCATGAAGTTCAAAGACAGAAAGCACTATACCTTTGTCTATTATAATATAAGATTGAAGACAGTCTCTGGAAGAAAATGACTGAACATAACCACATTCAATGTTGTTAGATCCCTATGTTAATGAAATTATTTTAATAAAATCTAACCTTTTATCTTTATTGTTTTCAATGATACACATAACATTTCTTAACGTACTCGCTCTATACATTCTTAACCTCTGCTGGCAATAGCAGAAATGAGGTGCCAGCATCAAGATACAACCAGAGAAAAGAACCTCAGGTACCCACTGAGGATATGGCTGGATGGGGTCTGTATCTAGCTAGGACAAACATACTTCATGCTTATTTGGGGGGGAATACCTTGTTTGTTTAACAGAAACCATTTCTAACTTCTGCTTCGGTCGTTGTAAAGTATGTTTAGCTAGAGTATTTTCTAATGGAGAAAAGGGTGGTGAAGTTTCAGAGATAGCTTCATCAGCTACAGATGACTTTTTTGGTACAGAGTTAGCAGGCGGTGGTGTTATTTCTTGCACAACTGCAGCAGCAGGCTCATATAATTCTCCATCAACAAGAACTAAGGTAGCACCATCAGAAGTCTGGTAAAAAAAAGAAAAGAAAGGAATTTTAGCAGACTGTTAGCTGCTACACTTCTATCAAAGAAAATTAAGTTGGTTGGCTATGTCAACAATATTAATCAGAATTTAAAGTTCTAAGGAAATTTTCACAATTGCATATGTTTTACATTAAAATGGTGCAATTTCCTTTTCCCCCCCATGCAAACAAAGTTCAGCAATAAAGGAATTCTTGGCACCATCTCTGTACAAACTGATACATAAAAACACTGTGAGTGGTCTATAATGTACACTGTTAGATTCAAAAGGAATTTTTTTGTCTTTTGTGTGTTCTAATCAAGGCAATTATAAACTGTGAATACTTCACATTTGTGCATAAATATTTTATTATCCTCTCTGCAGCTGTAAACCGGGGGACAGACATAGACAATGCGTATTGAATGCCGCACCAACAAAAGTTACTAAAGGCACTAATTTTGAAGCAAACCACATATTTTGATTCATTAACACAAAAACTTAACTCTGAATAAATTTCCTTAAGAAATTCTAAAATACTCTCAAATACAAGACACTGTATATGGGTAATGGATGCCTTTGATGTATACAGCAGGTTGATGAAAAAAGAAGTTGACTACAAATACTTAATTACAACACACCACAGGCAAAATATGAACTAACATAGTTCAAACTATTCCTGAAACATGGCAGAAGTTTATGAATAGGTTTTTAAATGTACTGAGTAAATACAATATACACAATATGACTCAGAGCCTGTACTGAGCCTATGTCACTGATGTAGAGACTAATAAACAAATTAATACATACCTTTACCACGGGCTTTACAAACAGGACATCATCTACTTTTAGCATACTGTATTTTTCTGAGGTTCCTTCAGCAAGCTTGATCTTCAGCGCCTAAGAGAGACAGTGACTTTAAATAAAATATTTTCACTCGCTAATCTGCTATGTATGTTATTAAC